ATTTCTATTTTTGCACAAGTGTTCCTCTAGTTCCATAATTGTAACCAATAACTCTTTCACTAATTAGTTGTGGTTAATCATATAAAAAGCCACGAACTCATTCATCTGTGAACCTGATGACTGATACTACAAATATGCTCGCAACAACGCACAACACAACTCCCTCAAAATATGGAAGTGAGACGCACAGCGTGCCAATACACCGCAAGCGTTGAGCTGCCGTGTCATTACCATCTGCTGTGGCTGAAACTGACAACCAGTAGTAGCATCGCCTCTACAAACTCAGCGTCTGATACTGACATAGACCTCTTCACTGCACATTATGTACGTGTCACAAAACTACAGATACCAAGTCCAGATTCAAAACTTACTCAAGAAATAGAACGACTAGAACTGTCGCCAGAAGAACTGGAGACTGAGATGTGGGATATAAGGTGCAGCAGGGCAACGAATACAGGATGTTCAGAAAATTTGACCAGCATGTCTGAACTATGAACACAGATTGGTGACATAAAATCGCAGGTCTGCGAAGTTACATCTCTGAGCATCCTGACCAGGACCATAAACCCTGGCGAACTTAACACATAATCAGTAACTAATGTAGACACTTTGATAAACTTCATCTCAACAGAGGTTATCAAACGACTACGTACTAAACTAAGTGTGATTGTCTATAATATACTAGATAATGAGGGGTTGAAAAGGCTCAAAGCATCTTACTTAGGGCGGCGAAAATGCCTAATTCCCAAACAAGATGCCATAGAGTGAAGAAGAGTCAGCGATACCGCTGCTGTCCTATAGGCCTTTAGTTTGAAACTCTGACAGAGGCTAAAAAATTCACCAACTCACAACGTATCCTATTACAGGACACAAGCTACAAACAAATAAAAGTTGCAGCGGATAAGACAGTGATTGAAGTGCTTACAATCACCTCAATAAACCTAATGGCAAGACATTACAAGTCACTAAAATAGATAAACACACAGCCAACAGTGTAGAATTCGTAGCCTCCCCCCCTCTCAAATCTCACAGAAAAGCTCCACAGAAAACGAAACCAAATGAAAGACTTGTGAGCTATAATCTTACTCCTAAATTAACCTCTCCTCCCTCTATCGCGGGTCTAGATATGTCTGTGGACAACCATAAGATGGAAATGAATCCCCCTTGTGAGTCGACAACATCTCCTAGCCAAAACGTGACAACCCGAATGGAATTCGGCAACAAAACATGCCGAAATACACCACTTGTTATGAATAATCCCCAACACATTCAAACTCTTAATAGTAAACCACGCTTTAAGGTAGATAATATTCAAAAATATGCTAGCAACCAGATTAGAAACATAAATAAGGATATAGGGTCCAAGGACAATAACGACACAACCTACTCGCATACTGTGCCAAGTCACACTAGTGGCTGGTGTATTGACACCATCACGCAAAATAGGACAAGTCGCAACACTCAGAGCTCAGCCAACACCCACTCTGGATCTTCAAAGTATGACACACAAATAAACTTTGACAGAATATACGGAACAAGTCTTATGGGATTCAAAACACAGTGCAGCAATGCATATAATGAAACCCATGTAAGGTCACTTAGAACGTCTCCAAACACTAGGCAGATTAATAAGTCACGAGCATCATATTAATATCAATACATATTTTATTCGTGTTTACGCAGGAACATACCAATTGTGCACGCATGGATAAGTTAATTATACAAATTACACATATTTTGTTGTATGGTGAATTTACAGTTTGGTTGTTCTTTCTGACATTAGAGTCAGTCGGAACAGTCTGCTAAATAGTCTGTTTGTGTAACACATAAAGAGATATAGAAATACTGTATTCGCATTGACAAAAACCCAGACATCAGATGAATATAATACAAATATCTGGGGGAAAAAAGCTTGAAGTCAATTCTCCTATATAACTTTGTTGTGAACAGCATCCTTGAGTTAAAGTTTATTGATGTTTTATGTTGAAGTCAGTGATATATTTGTTCCATTTTTTCAGCAGTCTTATCGTATTTTTATAACAGGAAAGAAATGTGGTCGTGGAAACGAAAACTAGGTAAGGTCATGTCGGATTGTTTTACTGCATGAAATGGGCCGAGTTCGATTTCATAATTCTCCATTGGCGCCATTTGTGTCAGCATGACAGACTGTACACGTAAGTTGAGTGATACATTGAAAACTGTTTGAAAACCAGTAGCTTCTTTATTTCAGATCATGAGTACTCCTTGTACAGAATGTTGGCCAGCGTTTTCAAATGGTAGCATCGGATCGTTCATGGAATTAGAGTGGTTATGAGCCAGTAGCTTGAGTGGAGGCGTGTGAATTTACTTAGATGGTCTGGAGTCCAGCTTCACTTCAGTTCAAATGTAGGATTGTACGACCTCGACCATAAGGTACCTATGATTTTTATCCGCCACATCCCTGTCAGCGCTGGCCAGACAGCTGGTGGGGATGTTAGCTCTTCTGAACCCGCGCCTCTAATGTCGGCTCCCTATCAGGAAGAAAACAGACACAGGCTAGTGCACACGGAATTATTAATCACATTCAATGCTTGTACAAACATGAGTCAAATAAGAACTCCTGCCTAAGCCTCCAAATTACCAAAGCCTAGAACTACCTCATACTGTAGTGAATCCAATAATGAAACTCATCATTCACTAAAAGGAATAGATAGTAACTCGATCGACATAGTTGAACATTGCACTCACACTGATTGCAACACAGGGTTGTTATGCCTAGCGGAACCAGTGGATGTTAATCCGCACTTCAGCCTTATTGACTAGCTTAAATACTTCAAACACTACTTCATTTCTCAACTTTACCTAATCCTTATTTATGGTTGATCTATCCTAAACAAACTACCAATGCTCAGGGAACACACGCTGGTATACAAACCTCCAATAATCTTTATTATTGTATCCTGTTGACACTTCAATGTACCAGACGGAGAGATAGGCATCGATGGGTACACACACTTTCGATGTGAAAAGAACAGTGGTAAGGAGGAAGGCTACCTACTGTATTACAGCTAAAAAATAGGGAACTCGATGACATGCAAGACACCCTATGGGTCAACGTGCACTTCAAAAGTGCTACACTACTAATAGAATGTGTCTACAGAGCACCTGGCACCTTTAGTGATTACGAGACACATCTTATAAATGTACTGGAGCAAGTACCCACTCTTCCATACGAGCATAAGATCATATGTGGAGACTTCAACCTACCCGAAATCAAATGGGATTTATTAACAAGGCCAAATAAATATCACAAGCTCTTAGGTGCACTGGACATTTTCTGCTGGAAACAAACTGTCACTATCCCTACAAGAGGTGAAGACGTATTGAACTTAATATTTTGCCACGATATAAGTCCCCTCTCAATCTTAGTGGGTTCTAAGTTTTCAGGTATTGACCACAAAACAGTGATGCGTGCACTGCCACTTCCATTGAGTAGCAATGCAGCATATACCTCCACTTCAAAACAAGTAATATATAAGAACTACAGTGAGGCAAACTGTGCCGTCGTAGAATCAATGCTAAGATCCTCTGAATGGGGCGAATACTTCACTTCTGATGACCTCTCGAGAGCTCTGAGCATCTTCTACCATAACTCAAACACATGCTTAAATGCTGCCATTCCACTACAGACACTAAAGGTTTCCCCACATAGAAAGTCATTTATAAAACGGAAGGATCATACGGAAGTGAAGAGACTCTCGACGAGTTACTTCAAACACCACGACTTTGGCACACTAGATTTAATGTTTAACACTCTTAGATCCATCTCACAAGCTGGAGATTCGCGTATGAGAAGCAAAGAACGCACCGCACTAATCAGTCCTGCTAGGGTGTATGCTCTCACAGAAATCCTAAACAAGCGATCTAATCGGAAAAATCACAGCATTTCTCTCCTCATATACAAAGGTAGGCTATACACAAAACCTCTGCAGATATGTGCAAATTATTCAACAAAACATTTGCAGTGACTACCTCAAGCCTTCAGTCCCGTTAGTCGGTATATACCCTACTACCAATATGGCACAACTTCCATTTTTATTCCCACCGAAACGAATTACTACCGTTGAATTCACTCGTGCTAGCACTAACCTAACTATTAGAACTCCCAAAAGCTCTTAATGTTCAGGCGCTGACGGTATATCATCTTATTTTTATAAATATGGTGGCCCTGACATCCTCTTACTACTGCTTAAAATCTTCACAATGTCCTTAGAAACCCAAACTTACTCTGATATGTGGATAACAACATTTAATATGTCTAAACACAAATGTGGCCTGAAAACAGAAGTCGACAACTACAGGCCGATCAGTATCACACCTATCACATCTAAAATTATGGAGAGACTAGCATATGATTATCTGCAACATTGTAAGCCAGGACCAATATGGGTTCCTAAAATTCAGATCAAGTCGAACCTGTCACCTAGACCTCTTTAGTTTTGTGACCAGCAGTCGTGACAGACGACAACAAGTACTTGTTATCTGCTTTGACATTTCCGAGGCACTCGACCATGTCGACCGTTTACTGCTAATACATCAGCTGAACTCCATAGGAATACATGACCCGCTTTTGGGATGGCTTAAATCACTTCTTAACAACAGGTCCCGGGTCTGTAACTTCCAAACCTAGTCCGATCACTTCTGGTGTAGTTCAAGGTAGTGTCATTGGGCCCCTCCTATTTACACTATATATCAACGACATATGCACTTGCTTCTCTCATTGGAAACCATTCATCTTTGCAGATGACCTAAAAGTAGCTTATACATTCCAACGTGATTACCTAGGGTACTTCCAGAATGTTATGCAGTAAGAATAAGATGAAGCGACTGCTTGGTCGTCTTTATGAAATCTACAATTTAACCTGAACTAACGCGGTTATCTACAATTCCCTGAGTTGTTTAAGCGCCATATCGATTATCGAGGTTGTATTCAGTCTCGGGTTTTCACTGTGGATGGGTGTGATGGATACTTTGGTGGTAGGGTTTGAATGCATGAATTTCCAGGTTGCAGAGAAGCCGCGCTGAGTACAAAGTGCGGTATTGTTGCACTCTTGGATAGTCGTATGTTTCGGTAGTCTGGTTTTTCACTGCCAACTTTTTTCCGCATATATTCCACTGCAGAACGATTATATTTTAACGAATATTTATTTCTCAGTTAGTTTGCACTAAGATGTCGTCTTAATTTCTCAATACCTACAACATTTATCTCAGCTGAGATTAGTGTGACACCCAGGTGTCGCTTAAAGGTACATAAAACCGTCGTACGACTTGTTTGGGGAATAAGACGGTAATTTATCTAGAAGGGCTCTTAATTGGGAAACGAGAGTTGTACTGTTAATGAGAAGGACATTGAGTGTGGGAACTAGATTGCCACAGACAGTGTTGAGATGTAGAGATTGTTTGTAGGATTTCAAGTAGTTGAAGTCACATGATCTCATTAACCTTGCCGGTCGATCTGGGGGGGGGAGGCGAGCAGAGTTGAAGGATTAATCTCCTGTTGTAGTATTTTCAGTAACATCTGCGGCCACTATTCGTTGTCATTATAGTTACTACCTTAATTACAAGTGAGACCTAGGTCTATGGAAGTACTTGCACATATTTCTTCTCGCATCCTCCCCTACATATCCCCTCTGCAGTCATTCTGTTAGGCCTACGGCTAATCACCACTCCTCCACTGTCTTTTGCTTTGTGCATTTTTCGGGACACTAGAGGTCTGTTTGTTGCTATTTTCTGTTTCTCTTTGTCCCGTTACTTTACCACTACTTATAAACGTTTCACATTGGTCTGGGTCAGGTGGTGAAAATATCAAATAGCATGTTCGTCTCCCGATTGAAATTTCTTCTGGCATGTGCGTGGTGCTAGTTTTCTTTAGATTTTAAGCATTCTATTGTGTGCCTCATTTGAAATGCCCCACTCTGAAATCTCAACTGAAAATTGACAGCTTCAGCTATGTAGTTATTCTGGATGTCATCCTGGGTGTACTTCAGGTCCGCGGACGTGTGTGATCTTCTCCATCGTATTTTGCATGGATTTCCAAACAACTTTTATGTATTGGTGTCCAAGCAGTCATGTGTGCCTTAGAATTGACGCTAACTGACTATCAGTTATCAGAAAGATTTTGTCGAAGTTGCGAGTTGCTTTTAAAAGCCATGGTGAACCTGTCTTCCGTACACTCAGCGTGACGTGAAAGATAGAGATACAGTATTATATTGTCTCGTTCAGCCAATTACATGAGGGTAATTTGACATATTCACTTTCTCGAGAGCCACAAAATCCTACTCCGTGGGTGGATTTTGTAAAGTTTGGAGTTCGATGTAGGTGAAGCAACCAGATTGTCTCACTAGGTTCTCTGAACTCGATTTGGGCGTCTTCAGCAGTAGCCTGAGATAAAAATAGCCACTGACTAGATGCATACGTATGTGAACATACACGGCTACGTTCAATAATATTTATGCGAAGAGAACGGCGCTGGGATTACTAAGCCCGACTGGTTTTTGATATTTGGTCATGATTTGAAGCATATATCCGAATAGCTATGGCCGGCATTTTACTCCATAATTTCATTTCTTGTTTACTTTTTCTGTACGAGATATTTGAACATTCATTTTTGGATATATGCTACAATTTCATACATAGATGTCCTCTCTCATACTGCATGTTGTCATGCATTATTTCAGGGGTGCCGTAAATCGAAAAGAAAGGCTATCTGGTTCACACAGCGTTGAGCTCAGCCGAAAAGTTTGTGTGCGTAAAGCTTGTGTTTGTTGCTGCTGGCTGACTTCAATATTTTTGGACGATACTAAGAAAAATTTTAGACGTAAGTCATGTTGCGTTGATTTATAAATTTTCTGATTGGAGAGTGTAATGTGGTTCAGAATCTTAAGATTTAGTGTGGTGTAGCTTGATTTTTTGTGGTTGATATTTGCGTGTCGTTTCTCTGTAGTTATGATGGGTGATTAGGAAACGTGTTGTGTATGTCTAGCCACCGTCTTCCTCGACGGGCGATGTTAGCTGACATAGGATCAGGTTGGTTGGAAAAGTCAGTGGCGGTCAAACCAAAACATGGCTCTGTCAGTCAATGAAACCCTCAACAGTTAGTTTAAGTCACTTAGAGGGGTGTAGACCTCTTGGTTGGGGTCCTAGGGATGGTGAAAGCAAATAAAGGTTGGAGAAAATCGGTGATATGCCTCAAAATTGTTGTCAATAGCGTAGATGCATTCACACTTTATGATTTGTCATATCCAATAAAAATCTGATGTTCTTCCATATTACTATTCTGTTTGCCTCACACTTCTACTTATTATGTGTCTTTGGACGTCCCTTTACTCTCTTCTTTTGCTTTGTGTGCTACATGGAGGTAGTGTGACAACTCGAACTGCTGCACATCTGTGCAAAGTTCTACGTTGAAACCAGTCAGTCAGTCAGTTATGATAGCTTGTTACAAGGCATTGGAAATGGTGTACTCTCCTAGACGTGACAAGATGAAACTGTGTCAGTTATTTCCCAAATTTAGGGAATGAATTTAGCGAATAAATTTCAAGGCAGTATGAGATTTTGTCGCGGAATTTTGCTATTCCTGAGATGAAGGTTGTTCTACCCTGTCGTGTGGTTTTGTCGGTGAACATCGGTCTTGGTCTGGCTGCGGTGTACTGTTTTTATTCTTTTTGTTGTATTTGCTTTTGTTTATTGGTGGATCTATACATGGCATATTTTTGTTGTGTATCAGATTATATTTTGTTGGTCTTACAGTCAACTAACGTTTTTAGCATCATACGTTTTATGTCATAGACAGATTTTTTAGTTGTTTTATTTCTTCAATATAATTAGTTGCTGATTACAGTAATATTCGTAATTGGAGTTGAGCAGGGTATCAGATCTACATACCTTTCTAAATCTATGAGTAGCTTTAGATATTCATATTTATCGACAGTCTTTATACTCTCCTTTTATTTGGTTAATCTTAAGGAATCGAGCTGCTTTTACTTTTAGTGTATATTAAATGTTAAATTTGATTTCGCTTTTCATGAGATGTAATCACTGAAACTATTTCAGCATGATACCTTTTATTTGGAAGTAACTATATACACTTCATATTTCGATTTGAATGAATAGCCTTCCTTGTTTTCAGGTCTTAAGTCAATATACATCTTAAATTGGTCGATAAATCTGCCTTTTATCTACCTGCAGTTTAATTATTTTGTGATATATGGGGTTCAGTTATTGATGAACAGAATAAGTTGAAAATGAATGTAGTGTTTTGGGAGTTAATTTACTGCTTAACTATAAAGCATTATTATTCTATGGAGCCATTCAGAATATAGTATGCTTTAAATACTATTTCACTACTATATTGGTTTCCCAGTTTGTTGTGGGGGGGGCGGGCCTTCCTTTTTAAGCTCACCTTTTCTGGTTGGTGACATTTTGTCTTTTCTCATTGATTATTCCCCAATATAATGAATAGGACTGGTTTATTTTCTATGCACTATCATTCCTTGATATGGATGCCTAGATATTGTTTCAGATATTGCTTCAGTTTTCTGAATGTTACTCACTTTTAGTCATGTTTGATACATGTGGACTTATAATGCTATCTTGTAGGTCAGATCTAAGTAGAAGAAATATGCCTCGAATCCGAAACTCTCTAACTATGCTTAGGCTATCGAGACAGACCTCTGTATCTCCAAGAGTTCTATTTCAAATAACTTGTAATCATGAGATTAGAAACTTTTCTGGACTAATATTTTAGGATGTGCACTTACAGAAAAGTTAATTTATTTCTGTCATGTATACATTGATGGTAACTTTTTGCCAGAAATTATCCTGTCTTTTAGGTGGTTCCAGACAATTGGTAGGAGGTCTTGTGTGACCTAGGTTTCGTGCTTGTTGGCACTCGTCAGAAAGGCGTGTCTACAATCTTGAAGGGACTTATGTCGCTTCTGAGATTTGGACCCGTGTTACCCAATGATGAACTCAGAGACGTTACTACTGAGCTATTCAGGCTCGCTATTGACGTCTTGCAAGATTGTAGTGGGTATAAGTATAAAACTGGGCAAAATCGTTCTCAATGACTGGCGCAGATGCATCCACTCCTTGTGACTAGTGATGTCCAATGAAACTTTTTTCTTCGTTATTACTATTCCTTTGTCTCACACCTGTGTTTACTGTCTATATTCTTCATTTATTCTACTTTCTTCTCTTGCTTTGTGTGCTTCATGGAGTGTGGCGACTTGAACTACCGCACATATGTGCAAAGTCCTATGTCGAAAACAGGTAGGCAGACAGACTTGGGCACTGTGGTACATACTGAGTTCTCAGCAAAGTTTCCAATGTGCACACCACACTACAGTATAAATGCAGTTTTAATTATTCAAATCGCCACATAATGGTATTAGTATATCAAATATAAAGCAGGATTTCACATACACCTGTAATAATTCCTTAGTTCATTTTTTTATTTTATAAACTGGTTGTACAGTTTCAACTCACTGGATTAGACAATCGATTATACTTTCAATCGACAAGTTATTACATTTGAATCCCCCTCCACCTCCTGAGTTATGACCGGAAAGGTAATATGACTGGTTCTCACACGATGGGTGTTATAGATTATTGAGTAAATATACCAACATGCATGCAGATGTTGCCTTACATATTATTTATTGTGTACACTGTTTTGCACTTATTAACACATGAAATCGCATAGACCAAGTCTCTTTGATATAAAAGCATATTTGGCTGCGGATGTTGGGTTTTAGTCTGGTTGGAACTTGTCATTTGAAAACTTTAAATCTCAGCAAGTCCGTGAATCTTGTTCTTCTTGTCCTAATCGGTAGCCTTCGACTAACTAGTCGGGTTGACTATTAATATTTATTTTATTCCTTTGCTCTCCCAGTGGAAAATAGAGCTTCAAGCTTCAGCTCTGAAGTTTCAGTGGCGATGCTTTTTGTCTTTTATGGGGTGAGTTTTCTAGCCTCACGCCCCACCTTCCCTCTCTACTGAGCTTATTACCGGCTAAGCGAGGTTTAGGTGTACGTCGGTTGGGAGTCAAACCTCGGACTATGTGAGGCGTGGTTGTTGAGCATTTCACCACTAAACCACCGATTAACTAAACGGGTTGAAGTTGTTTTTAATTACGACTAAGTGACCTTACCAGTTTTTATGCTTCTAGGATTGTATGAAATGAAATATAATGACTAGCGGGGCAGCGAGATATATACCACCTACATCTTCAACTGACAGGGCACTGAAATAAAAGTTTCTCTATATATACTGACATGTAGATGCTTTTAATTGCTTGCAAATGTGTCTTTAAAAATATATCATTAATATCATTTATGAGTATACTGTTATTAAAAACAAAACACGTAGTTCAGTGAAGAGATTCTTTTCGGCGAATTCATTCTCTCGCATTTGTATACAATGTCTTGTTCATAGAATATGATAGTAGCAAAAGTGGTGAGTTGCCATAATCACAGTTGTTAGTATTAGTCAATGCATAAGACGAGTTGAATAAGTGTATTAGGGTTACTTGACAAGATGAATGATTTAATCATTGAGTTGTAATCAGGACACACATCGAAATGAAGGAAACTGGAATTGTATAAGAGTTCTAAAGAAATACACTAGTTATAAGGAGTTAGAGAAGCAAACAGACAAATATCAAGGTAGTAGAAACCAACAAGGTTGTTACCATGATAGTAGAAGTGGTTGAATAACTTTATTTTGTATACATATCGCCAGTTTTTCTAGGTGGGTAGCTAAAGCTTCATGAATGCGAAGAAGACGAAAGTGTCTGGTGTCTTTGTGAGGTTTTTGTTGAGTTTGTGGGTTACTTTGTGAAGGAGGAGTCGTTAGTTGAGATCGAATGACAATGTGACCAATGTTGACGAGGTGTTCGATTATCACACCCCTTTAAATAGCCACTACAGTCAGTTTGTAACGATGATGGATAACGTTCTTGACCGCTTTTAGACAGGATACACGTCGGACCACCAGTATGCCTGGTTTCAAATCAACAGGTGAACTGCTATATGTAAATAGAAGTGGTGAAGTGCGATATCTTATCCTTAAGGCTTTTGTAGATCAATAGCCGACTGGAGAACATAACTATTAGGATTGCTGCGAAGAATGTTCTTTTCACAGATGATGAAACTCTTCTCTCAGGGATATCTTTCTTGAAAGCCACGTTCTTGTAAAGTCTCTTTCTAGGTACAAGTGATATTTCGTATTTTTGATATTCTTGTCAATGACTCTTGGTGAGTGAGTATCCATTTCGGATGAAAGTTTCTTTCAAAAGACCTAGTTCTACTTCTAGGGTGTTAGGACTACAAATGCGTTGGATACAAGTGACACAAGATTTGATTAAAGCTTCATTTACATTCCTCAGATTCCTAACTTTAAGCACTCGTTATAACACTATTCCGAGTGTTAATGTAATGACGCTTTTTGAAAAGAAAGTTGCTAATTCGATCCCTACCACAACTCAGTTCTTAATTTCAACTTCATTCAACCATCACCTGATCTCATTAATATAACAGATTTAAAAGAATTAAAAACTGTCTCTTTCTCTCCTTTTGTCATAAAATTCATTATTTCCTGATGGGTTTTATTGTGTCTACATATTACTATGTATAAAATATGCATCTATGTAAAAGTATTTATTTGTTATCTTGATGACGTATTCAACTACTGATCATGTGTTACTTTTTTTTTACTAAACACTTATCATAAAACACGTGTATCTTGTTATAAATTTAAACGCTTCTACTGATCATTAATATGTATGCACTGACAGTCGTCATACGATTCATTTTACAT